CGGCCGGCCGGGGCCCCTCACCCCCGCAGCAGGGCTCGGGTTAGGCACCGACTGCCGCCGAGCAGCCGTCCCTTGACGGGCTCGCTGCCTGCCGTGCTTGCCTGGATGAGTCTGCGACATGCCTAATAAGAGACGAGATGGGCCAGGGCGACGAGAGCGACCGCATTGTGATCAACGTGGGAGGGACTAGGCACCAGACTTACCGCAGCACCCTACGCACCCTGCCCGGCACTCGGCTGGCCTGGATCGCCGAACCCGATGCCCACAGCCACTTCGACTATGACCCCCGCACGGATGAGTTTTTCTTTGACCGGCACCCGGGCGTCTTTGCCCACATCCTGAATTACTACCGCACTGGCAAGCTGCACTGCCCCGCGGACGTGTGCGGGCCCCTGTACGAGGAGGAGCTGGCCTTCTGGGGCATCGATGAGACTGATGTGGAGCCCTGCTGTTGGATGACCTACCGGCAGCACCGCGACGCCGAAGAGGCTCTGGACAGCTTTGGTGGGGCTCCCCTGGATAGCAGTGCCGAGGACGGAGACATAGATGGCACCGGAGACTCTGGTGATGGGGAAGAGGAGCTGGAGATGACAAAACGCCTAGCACTTAGTGACTCCCCAGATGGCAGGTCTGGGGGCTTCTGGAGACGGTGGCAGCCCCGCATCTGGGCACTCTTTGAGGATCCCTACTCCTCCAGATATGCAAGGGTAAGCTATGCAATCAGCACCCTCATCAAAACACTCAGACCTCCCTTCGGTCCCGCTTCCTCCCAGCATCATCAGGGTTATCTCCACTGTGAGAGCAGAGCAGCCGTCCATGTGTGTGGCCATACAAAAATCATGCACAGGCTATGGGGACATAACCCATGCTCTCAAGCAGGCCCCATGCATGAGGCATGAGTGGACACCAAGACATGAGCTTGAGCACTCATATGTGGGCTTCCAGAGACCCTTATTTTCTACCAGGCTGCTAAAAACCCACAGCCTGGAGCAGGGTCCCAATCAAGGGCCAGGAAGATCTCCATTATACCAGGTAATTTCCCTCCATGCACAGTTTTTACAGTCATCCCCCAGTAAAGAGAAACAACTTGTCCATCCCTCTTACGAGCTAACAGCTCTCCCTCCTTTATGAGATGCAGAAGGGATCACTGGAGCAGGGAGCAGTCCCTGGGAGACCAAGGGATTAGAAGAATTTCTCAGCCTGGACTGGAAAGAGAGTCTGTTCCTTTCTCTTTTCTCATACATTCCACGTTAATTATTTATGATCATGCTTCCCTGAGAAGGAGTAATTCAGTTCCTCACTTACCTCCTCACTTTTTCCCTTGTGGGAAATGCAAAGTATTAATCAGGGGAGAGGGTTCGTTCATGTAGAAGGGACACTGTTTGACAGGTTTCTTGCCTGGCTGCTGAAGGACAACTCCTCCCCTCCTGGTGCCTGCAGATGTTTTGGAAAGGGAATGCACAATGGTGCAGTTCACAGCATAGCTGTGCTTAAAGATGGTATTAAACAGTCACCCGACTCCTCTAAGTAGGCACCTTTCGTGCTATTACCTTCGAGGATAATTACATTTATTAGAGCCTGATTCCCTTCCTGAAGTCAAAAGTAAAGAAAACCTTTACTTCAGGATCAGCAGCAGGATTAACCCCAGCAGGATACCCATACTGATAAGCAGGAAAACATGGAGCATAGAGCCTTTGCAAATATATTAGTTAGGATAGGTTTTACTCCTCTCTTACCTTTGTTACAGCATAATTGCTGCCAGCCCTCGGTAGGGATGAGCGGTGCTTTGGTGTGGGAGGATGATCAGTGTTCCTGAGGAGGATCAAAGAAGTGAGATCAGATTAGGGACAAAACTGGATGGATGAAGGAAAGAGAAGTAGAAATGCAGGGACAGCGGAGCTGGTTGTGTATGAATGGGTGGTGAAACAGCAGCTTCTGGTCTTTAAGTCTGTCTGAGTGGAGACCTCAAGCAGGGAGCCACCAGGTCTGCAGACTGAATGAATGGGGAAAGCTGGAGCACAGCCTGGAGTTACGTCTTGGTGCATTTCTAAAGATTCTTGTTTGCATACCCTTTGAAGACTACCTCCCTGAACAAAGAAGTTAATATTTTAAATGAATTCCTTTAAACAGCATGGAGGATAAAGGAATAATAAAATATTTACCAAGAGATGAAAGGATGATGCTATTGAATTGCAGCTTTCAAATCCCTGATTTCTGCCAAGGGAACATGGAAATGGAGAGGGAAGGCTGGAGGGTGTCGTTCAAAAGGCTTAGTTAGCTTCCTCTAATCAAACCCAATGCTAGCTGGTGTTGATTTGAATAGCAGATCTCTCTGGTGCCCAGGAATCTGTTGGTAAAACACATTTCAAGTCAAAGCAGTGTGCTTTTCCAAGGTTTTGTGGAATTGTGCAAAAGCCAAGAGGTTAAAACACCCTTTTGCTTAGAAGAATGATGATAGTTTAGGTCAGAGGACAAAAATCTGTAACTGATATTGAGTCTTTGTGATAAACAAGCTGGAATTCTAGGAGGATATAAATCCCATTTTCTAATTCCCAATGGGTATTTTCATTTATGAATAGGTATTTTATAAAGTGATTTGGGTTTGGTTGGGGTTTTTTCGTGGATGTTCTACTGTTTATTCATAATTTCATGTACGTACCTGGTAGAATTCAACCCCTGATTTACCTCTAACTTTTTATTTCCTTAATGAATTGTTAATCTAGAGAAATATGAATTCTGGGAAAAGTTGAAGTGTATACTGAATATTTAATGGTTTAATACTATTCTTTAACTTTATCTATGGAGACGTAGGGCATATGCATTAATATTTTGCATGTAGGAAGATGGCTTTCATCATCAACACATGCACACACTGTCCATTAAGAAGACATTGTAAGACACTTAAAAGCCATATGTTATGGTTATGGATGTAAAAAGAGATGGAAGTTTGATTTATGCTCCTGTAACCTAACACAGATATTGCAAAAAGACCTCATGCTCACAACAGCTAATTTACAGTAAAATAATTGATAACATCATTAAACAAGGGAACGGGATATTAAAGCAATCATTAGTAAAGTAGTCAGGCAACAAATCCACTGTTAGCTCACTTTTGTTTACACTACTTTCAATTACAGAGTGTATTTCAGTCACGCAAAAATTTAAATTCACATTGCCATTTTGTCACCAAAAACCTGTCACAAAAATTTGTCATCCTGGTTGGATATGAGACTTGTACTAATGGTGGTTGTTATATACGTGTTTGGTGTTTACATGTGGCTCCAAAATGGAAGTCAAAATAACATCTTCATATAAGCTTTGTTTTACATAACCATTATACTGTTACACTTGGACAAGTAAAAGGAATAGACTATATATATATTAAGACTAAATGAAAACCTGCATATCTGAATAAAACAAGATTTCTCTAGACTATATCTGGTACACTAATTCAGGGAACGTTTGGGAACTGTCTATGGAAAGCTCAGCATTTACTGAAATCTAGCCATTCTTGGAGCATTTTGATGGACACTGCTTACAAATACATTTGACTATTTTGCTTCACCAACACCTAATTCATACTAAATTACACCTGATCTCATTGTAGATGGCCAGAGAAGACTGGAAGAGCACTCGTGTATGTGAGGCAAAATCAGCTAACTGCAAATTTTGTCTATTTCTAAACTTACTTACTTACTTACTTCCCAGCACTGATCAATTTGTCTTTAGGTGCAGCATAGTCAACAGTTTCTTGTTAAAACAATAGTGGCCCAGTTTAATTAGATTTGGGTTTTCTAAACACTAATTTCTTAAATAAGGTAGTTTTTTCTGAAAAGACTAAATGCTTTTAAAATTACTTAGCCTTCTGAATCAGTCATAAGAAAAGGTAGCTTGTTGCCATAGACACCTTAGTGAGATAAATGGGTGTTGCACTTCTCCATCACTTAAAGAATCCACATTTGGGTAACAGAGGCAAAGTCTGGTGTGTGGAGGTCTGAATAGAGTAACATAAGGTGATGGAAAAGATCAGATTTAAGAGATACTGGGTATGTAAGTAGACAGGCATCCAGGTAGACATTCAAAAGAATCTGATCAGGCATCTAAACATTGCTGCATGTCAATGGATATTGTGCACCTAAGTTGGTGAGACATTTCTTTAAAGCTTATTAGAACCATCCTTTTTGCATCGTCAGGCAGCTTTGTAAATTTGTTTTTCATAAGTAGATGCAAAGGGGGAAATGGAATCACACATAAAGCCACACAGATGCTAAAGCAGCATGGCTGAGAGTTATGCTATCATAGAGCTCCTGCCTTCTGCACTCATTAGACTTCATAGACCCCTCAGTGCACCAGTGTGTGAAAAATATTTTCTTAGCATCCTCTCTCTTTACATTTGTGTCTGGTCTTGGTGTTCTTAGACTAGCAAAGCTCCCACTGACTTCCTGGGGAGTTTGGCCTGCAGGTATCTAACATCTTGGCCCCCTTCCTTCTTCTCCTCCCCAGCAGGATAAGGTTGTGTTTATGTTAATTCACAGTTGTTAGGTTAGTCAATGTTTGGGAACAAGGAGCTTTCAGCTGATATTCTGCACTAGTACTCACATTCCGATTGGACAGTTAAGCTTCATTAATGAACCCTCAGGAAAGCTTTCGTAGTCCTTCCAAATAAACATTTTTACTGTTTTTAAATAAAAGCTGGTTGGGGTCCTATGGGTAGTCCTCAACAGCTTGACTTGCTATCCTGTCATATGCTATAGAGCTCTGATCTGGAAGAGGAAAGGCAAAGCTCTCACTCACCCTTCCCTCATGTTCTCCCTTCACATCCTGCAGGAGAATCTGCTTTCCTCAGTAGGTGATTTTTGAAGGACAAGTGTCCTACACTGAGAAGGAGACAGGAAAACGCATAGTGGAGAAATGATGAGGAAAAAGGTATTCCCCAGGGTTTTCTCCCAGCTTTCTTTTATACATTCAGGAGTATTTTAACCTTATTGTGCTCATTTAAAATGATTTTTCTCTATATAAACTACATCCCATAGGTACCAGAAGGCTTATGGGATCCTAATCATAGTGTCTCAAGGCTTAGAGTTTGGGGTGATTTCTGCTCATCCTTTACCCTTGCCTAGTAAAGCTAAGCTCAGGAACTGGGAAATGTATCAGGGAGTGGGAATAGATTCTCATCACCCTTCATAAGGGGAGCTTATTCTGCAGCTGTCTGACATGGGACACACTTTGCACAGGAGTGCTCCACAGTGGGATTTCATCAGAGGGGCCCTGATGGAGCTGCTCTCCCACCCTGGGCCTTTCTGCAAGGTCTCCCCTGCAGAGGCATAGCTAATCCTGCACTGAAGCTGGCTGCAGTAATTCTTACCATATACTCTGACAATTAACAAGACAGCCTAATTTTAACAGAATGCTGCATTACAGCTCTGGAAAAATGAGAATCGCTCCAGATTAAATTAAGTTTCCCCTGCACTTGTAGTATAATGGAATCACATATAGACATCTATTAACTACCTTTCTGTCATTCATTATTAATATATTTCCTAAAATCACATTTTATTCCTATCTTCTCCCATCAAGGGACATGTTACTGCAAATCCTTATATAACCTATTAGTAAGCATGGTATAGTCTTCTCTGCATCCTGTCCAAAGAAGCCTTTGCAATGCCAGCTAGGAAGTGTTACTGCTCACATCAAGTACCACATTCAG